TAGGATCTATTATGTATGCCATGCTGTGTACCAGACCTGATGTAAACCTTGCCATAAGTTTGGTAGCAAGATACCAGAGTAATCCCGGCAAGGAACACTGGACAGCGGTCAAGAATATCCTGAAGTACCTGAAAAGGACAAAGGACATGTTTCTCGTATATGGAGGTGACGAAGAGCTCGTCGTAAAGGGTTACGTCGATGCTAGCTTCGACACAGATCTGGATGACTCTAAGTCACAAACCGGATACGTGTATATGTTGAATGGTGGAGTAGTAAGCTGGTGCAGCTGCAAGCAGAGCGTCGTGGCGGGATCTACATGTGAAGCGGAGTACATGGCAGCCTCGGAGGCAGCGCATGAAGCTATTTGGGTGAAGGAGTTCATCACCGACCTAGGAGTCATACCCAATGCGTCGGGGCCAATCAAACTCTTCTGTGACAACACTGGAGCTATTACCCTTGCTAAGGAGCCCAGGTTTCACAAGAAGACCAGGCACATCAAGCGTCGTTTCAACTCCATCCGTGAAAATGTTCAAGATGGAGACATAGAAATTTGCAAAGTACATACGGATCTGAATGTCGCTGATCCGTTGACTAAACCTCTCTCGCGAGCAAAACATGATCAACACCAGAACTCTATGGGTGTTTGATTCATCACAATGTAACTAGATTAGTGACTCTAGTGCAAGTGGGAGACTGTTGGAAATATGCCCTAGAGGCAATAATAAAAGTATTATTATATTTCTATGTTCATGATAATTGTCTTTTATTCATGCTATAACTGTATTATCCGGAAATCATAATACACGTGTGAATACATAGACCACAATATGTCCCTAGTGAGCCTCTAGTTGACTAGCTCGTTGTGATCAACAGATAGTCATGGTTTCCTGGCTATGGACATTGGATGTCGTTGATAACGGGATCACATCATTAGGAGAATGATGTGATGGACAAGACCCAATCCTAAGCATAGCACAAAGATCGTATAGTTCGTTTGCTAGAGCTTTGCCAATGTCAAGTATCTCTTCCTTTGACCATGAGAGCGTGTAACTCCTGGATACCGTAGGGGTGCTTTGGGTGTATCAAACGTCACAACGTAACTGGGTGACTATAAAGGTGCACTACAGGTATCTCCAAAAGTATCTATTGTTTTATGCGGATCGAGACTGGGATTTGTCACTCCGTATGACGGAGAGGTATCTCTGGGCCCACTCGGTAATGCATCATCATAATGAGCTCAAGGTGACCAATGTGTTGGCCACGGGATCATGTATTACGGTACGAGTAAAGTGACTTGCCAGTAACGAGACTGAACAAGGTATTGGGATACCGACGATCGAGTCTCGGGCAAGTAACGTACCGACTGACAAAGGGAATTGTATACAGGGTTCGATCGAATCCTCGACATCGTGGTTCAACCGATGAAATCATCGAGGAGCATGTGGGATCCAACATGGGTATCCAGACCCCGCTGTTGGTTATTGCCCGAGAGTGGTCTCGGTCATGTCTGCATGTCTCCCGAGCCCGTAGGGTCTACACACTTAAGGTTCGGTGACGCTAGGGTTGTTAGGAAGACTAGTATGTGACTACCAAATGTTGTTCGGAGTCCCGGATGAGATCCCGGACGTCACGAGGAGTTCCGGAATGGTCCGGAGGTAAAGTTTTATATATGGGAAGTTGTTAAACGGGCACCGGAAAGTTTCGGGGTCATACCGATATTGTACCGGGACCACCGGAAGGGTTCCGGGGGTCCACCGGGAGGGGCCACCCCTCCCAGGGGGCCACTTGGGCTGCGTGGGGATAGCAGCCAGCCCCTAGTGGGCTTGGCGCGCCCCCCCTTGGGCCCATGCGCCTAGGGTTGGGGGGAAAACCCTAAAGGGGGCGCACCCCCCTTGCTTGGGGGGCAAGCCCCCCACCCCTTGGCCGCCGCCCCCCTCTAGGGCCGGCCCCCCTTGCCCCTTCTCCTATATATAGAGGGGTGAGGGGAGGGCTGCCGTACACCACAACTCAAGGCGCAGCCCCTCCCCTCCCCAACACCTCTCCTCCTCCGTACGTGCTCGGCGAAGCTCTGTCGGAATACTGCTGCACCAACTGCACCACGCCGTCGTGCTGCCCTTGGAGCTGCCTTCCTCAACCTCTCCTTCCTCCTTGCTGGATCAAGACGGAGGAGACGTCTCCCGTCCCGTACGTGTGTTGAACGCGGAGGTGCTGTCTATTCAGCACTAGGACATCGGTGATCCGAATCACGTTCGAGTACGACTCCATCATCACCATCTCCTTGGCAAGCTTCCGCTCGTGATCAACAAGTGGTATGTAGATGCAAACTCTCTCCCTTGACTCGTTGCTTAGATGAACTCATAGATGGATCTTGGTGAAACCGTAGGAAAATTTTTAATTTTCTGCAACGTTCCCCAACATGGTGGTGGTCGGCGATGGTGGTGTCCGCCATGGATTTTTGTTGCATTCATTTTTTTTGCTGGAACCACTTTTCATTTTTGCTGGAACCAGCTTTCAATGTTGCTGCAAATTCAGAGGATGGTGGTGTTCTTGCCGCATGATTTTTGCTACATCATTTTTGGGCTTGGAACTACTTGTGATTTTTGTTGGATCCAACATTTGACTTTGCTGCATAGGCTAGGATCTGGGGGCGACGACGACCAGTGGCTGCCATCTGTCTTTGCGCATTGTTTTTTTTTGCTGAAACCAGCAATCATTTCTGCTACAACCATCTGAAGCAAAGCTGGAATCGGCGAGATTTGTTCGCGACCTTGGACGACGGCACATTTTTGTTGGAACCATGATATTTTTTGCTGGAACGTTTGTTGGTTTTTGCTACCACCAGCGAAACCCCTTTTTTTTATTGCGAGAGCTCTTTTCTATGAACACGATGGTGGAAACCGACGCCGGCAGCGAGCAGACGGCGATGGCCGAGGGTGCTACAACCACGAGGCCCACGTCTTGGAACCAGCCGACGAAGAGCTGCAAACAACAGAAGCTAAATCAAGGCGACGAGGGCCACACAACGACCACGAGATTTAGCTTCAATGACGACAGCGGGGTCGCGAGCATGTTGATGGCGAGACGAGCGAGGAGCGGCGCCCTTCGTGGAAGGATAGACACGAGGGAAGGTCGACCGACGCAGTGGGGCCAGGGGATGCTTTTCTCCCTGAACGCGCGTGGAAAAATGAGAGAAGGGGTGATGTACAAGAAAGAAGGCGCAATCACCCGACTCATGCGACCGACCCAAATTTTGGCCGGCACGCTGGCGCCTAGCACTCCCATCTCCGCCGAAATCACTAATTAGGCTAGTCATAGTGGGAGTAACTTAGCTAGTAATATAGCGCACTCCAATTTTTTTTTGCTTATGTGGCAAGTATTTAATGTGAGATGGTAACATAATATGTTACTGTAACATAGCGCTTTCCAAAACAAGATAAGTCTACAAGCTAATAAATGAAGCTATCTATGACAGTACTATTATATTACTTTGCATTATGAAGGTAGTAACTTAGACCAGTGTTATGCATATGACATTAATCTAAGTTACTCCCCACTATGACCAGCCTTAAGGAGTACTCGTTGCAAAGAGCACTCCACTTTCCCAGGTCGCGACAAGTGGCGCACATGCAACACGCCACTTGTCGCAACCTGGGAGTTTTCTCTTTTTTCGTAGATCCGTTTATTCAAAACATTTTATCTTTTAAACCGTGCATCCAAATCTCGAACCGTTTTTCACCGTTGGATTCCTCGCGTCGAGATTTTCAAAACTAGATCCCATGTTGATAGGTTTTGACGAACTTTTTTTTTCACGAAAAAACTGGATGGAAAAAACCGGACCGGAAGTATGGTTTTTTCCCTTTCCGAAAGTGGCACGTCCGTGCCTCTCGCGAAATCACAACCGTGCCTCTCGTGGAAGCAAAACCGTGACTCTCGTGGAAGGAAAAAAACAGAAAATACGTTTTTTTTCGTTTCCGAGAGGCACGGCCGTGACTCTCGCGAAAGCACAACCGTGACTCTCACGAAAGAAAAAAACAGAAAACGCGTATTTTTTCCTTTTCCGAGAGGCACGACCGTGACTTTCGCGAAAGCACAACCGTGCCTATCGCGGAAGCAAAACCGTGACTCTCCCGAAAGAAAAAAAACAAAAAACGCGTTTTATTTTTCCCTTTCCGAGAGGCACGGCCGTGACTCTCGCGGATGCAAAACCGTGACTCTCGCGAAAGAAAAAAAAACAGAAAACGCGTTTTTTTTCGTTTCCGAAAGGCACGGCCGTGACTCTTGCTAAAGCACAACCGTGCCTCTCGCGGAAGAAAAACCGTGACTTTTGCGAAAGGAAAAAAAAGAAAACATGTTTTTTCGTGCAATTTTTTTTTTCGAATTTTTTTTATCGAAAAACTAAGAAAGACCGGAGGAAAACCAAAATGTCAAAAACCCCAAAAGAAAAACCGTTTAAAAAGCCAAAAACACGTGCGGAAAAATAAAAAAAAATTCTAAGGGAGCGTCCAGAACACGACACGTGGCAAATGGCTGAAAGCACGCCAAGTGACGCTAATCGTTGCGAGGCTCCCGAAAAAGCGCTCGTTAACTAGTTGCTCCCCATCTCCGCCGCCCAAAAAATAAATAGATGGGCTGTAGCAACGCACTGGATTTTCTACCAGGGGAGTCGTCGATGCGGGGTGACAGGTGGGCTGGAGTGGACTGGGCCTCTGCCAATATATCACCGTCTCCGCCGTCCAAAAAATAATAGAAAATCTCGTCTCCGAGTTTCCCCCACTCCCGCCAGCCGCCGCTCCTCCAGGTCTCCGCCGACGAGGAGGGCGCCGCCGCTCGTCCATTACTCGTACGCCACCGCCTCGTCCCGCGACTCCCGTGACCAGGAAGACTTGCCTCCCCTCGCCTCGCCTCGTCTCTCCGCTGACCAGGAAGGTTCCAGAAGCTATCGGAAGGGTTCCCCACGCGCCCCCTTCTTCCCCGCGCCAGTGCTAGTTCCGGCGGGCGCCATGGACCTGGACCCCGAGGGCATCTTCCGCGACGACAGCGACGAGGACGACGACAACCTCCATGTACGCTCCCTGCTCCGCCTTCCTTTTCCCCATTTTCCATCTTGGGTTCGATTGCTGCGTGCGTCGCGATTTGTTCTGATGCTAGCGTGTGCTGGTTCTGGATGCAGGAGAGGGAGGCCAACAAGGAGATGGTCGTCTACCTCATAGACGCCTCGCCCAAGATGTTCACCCCCGCCAACGCCGCCAAGGTGAAGCACAAGCAGCTTATATGCGCATAGTTTCACAGCCCCAGAGCATTGTTGAGTCTGCAATTGAGTTATATATAACATGTACTTTGACCATAACTTCTCCAAGTGGCACAACTTACAAGTAGTATGCCTGGTTTTCGGCAGAAGCAAAGTAGGTAGCTAGTCTTTCCAGGGTTTGCATCTGATCTAGGACTCTAGGTTATTTTTTAGACTGAATGGTTTTGGGGAATACGATGGTAAGGGTAGGAGCTTGTTGTAAATTTGCCGATATTTAGTTTGTGTGAAGTTCCATGGTTATAATCATTTACTAGGTAATGTAGCATTTTGGTTTTGTTGTTTCTTGCAGCCAGATGAGAATCAGGAGACACATTTCCATACCATAGTGAACTGCATCACGCAGTCTCTGAAGACACAGATTATCGGGAGATCCCGTGATGAAGTTGCAATATGCTTCTTCAACACCGTAAGTTGCTACTCATAGTTGTAAGCTTTAACTCGATGCTTGATTAGTTATTAGTTAATTTATTCGCTGGTTCAAGTCCTCTGATTTTACTGCAAGTGATTGTTCGGCAAAGACGAGGTTTTCGAGTTTCAACCTGTTAGTTGAGACCTTAATCTTCGCTGGTGTATTGCTCTCTGTGACAACTTTGCTTCCTAGTTTTACTTGATAGATCTGCTGTTATCAGGCCTGATGAGTGGACACTGAACTTGAAGATTTCAATTATCTCTTTGAAATCCACTTTCATCCATCAGCAAATGAACTGATTAGAACTGCCGGGTGTTGAAAAAATGACATGTTGCTATGATTTGTTCTTTTGTCTATCAAACAGTTAAATGTGTGAAAATTTGAGATGAACTGTTTGTCTTGCACTATGTAGATTACTAATATCTGATAAGATTCTTTTTATGATGTTCCTTACAAAGTGCAACTTCCTCGAACACTTACGAAGTGGTACTGATATGCTATTGTTACATGGTACTCTTCTTTGATATAGCTATCACATAACTCTTGCAGAAAGAAAAGAAAAATTTACAGGAGCTGGCTGGTGTATATGTTTACAATGTCACAGAACGAGAGCAACTTGATAGGCCTGATGCAAGACTGATTAAAGAATTTTCTTGTGTAGAAGGTAATGCTACTTAATGAATTGTTCTTTTGCACAGCTGATCAGAGTTTGAGTGATACACATGCTGGGCTACTTCCATGTAGCAGATTTGTATATAACACTTGCAGAAAATTTGAAATTGTACAGTTGGATGGTTTACTTATACCATATCACACATGCATAAAAATCATGCTACAAGACTGAAACTCAGACATTGTATTATCTCAACTGATTCTGGCATTTTACATCTCATGTTGATTTCATCTTTTGTGTTCTCTTGGTCACTAAAAAATTGTAAGGCAACCATGCTTTTAGAAAGTTAGCTAGGAAATATCATTAGTAGCAGTACATGAACATTGTAAGCATGATTTTTATTTCATTTTGTTTTGGCCTGAATAGAAAGGCTCTATGGATAAAATTGGAGTAGGGTACTTGTGTATGAGAGAACTCAGCAATTATGTTTTCATTATAATCTTTGTTTTCACTTGTGCAAGATTCTTTTATGAATAACATTGGAAGCCGGTATGGAATAACCTCTGGATCTCGAGAGAATACCCTGTACAATGCTCTTTGGGTTGCACAGGCACTGCTGCGTAAAGGGTAACTTCACTTTTCGCCTTTGTTTCTCAGATGCCGTAGTTTATATTAATTAACACATCCCAGTAGCATTAAACATCTTTGTAGAGGTGTAGCCTGTATACATGACAAGTATTGTCTATAACTTTCTTGGGGGATACAGTTCAGCAGTAAAGCTTAAATTTCTATATATTATGCACAACGATCTAGTTTGCATCAGCTAGATCATTGTGCACATTATACTTATTAGCTATAAGTGAATGTAATATACCTTAGGTGCTTTAACAGTGTTTTGCTGGATGTTGAAGCATAAATTTACGTGTTAGTGAATGCAGCATCCTTTAGGTGCTTTAGCTATCAACCTATCATCTAATGTAATGGTTAACACCTATGTGGTTCAACTTCAGTGATTCCCCTTTCTTCTTTTTTCATTCCTCAGATCTGTGAAGACTGTGAGTAAGAGAATCCTCATATTCACCAATGAGGATGATCCTTTTGGTGGTATTACAGGAGCAGCAAAGACTGATATGATCAGGACCACAATTCAACGTGCAAAAGTTTGTCTATGACACATACATCTATTCTGTTTTCACACCAAGCAGCCCACAGATGCAAATTAATATGGTATGTTCCTAATGATCTTATGTTTTTGTTCTATAATTACTTGCCTACCTTCAGGATGCACAAGATCTGGGCCTGTCTATTGAACTTCTTCCATTAAGTAGGCCTGATGAGGATTTCAACATGTCCCTGTTTTATGCAGTAAGTCTCCGCAGCTCCCCTCTCCCCCCGTATCAGTGCCAAATGCTAAGCAACTTCCATCTCCCAGGATTTGATTGGTCTGGAGGGAGATGAAGTAGTGCAGTACGTGCCATCTGCTGGTGAAAAGTAATTTCTTTCTTTAATCACCAATTTTACTCTTGATTGTTTCTTGTCTTGTTGATACAAATGTAAATACTCAACGGTATCTTATTCTTCTAATTACTTTCCGCAAAGAAAAGAAAAAAGACAAATATTGGTGCTCGAGTGGGAGCTTGCAACTTTGTTGAATGGAGATAATCTGTGTCTCAGAACCAGATCTGAGAACAAATATACAGTCTGTTGTTTCTTGTGACTATGTAGACTTGCTATTGTCCTCCCACGAATTTTGTGCGTAGTGGGTGTCAACTCTGTGCATTGTCCTCCACATGTTATAAGAACATAGGATAAAACATCTGAAGTAATGGTTAACTTGTTATCTTTGTTCTCGCCAAAGAAAACTTGTTAATCTTTGTTTAAGCGTACAAATGCTTCCATAAGGTTTTTTGCTGTTCTGCATGAAATTTAGGTTAAGTAACCTCAGGTGCACTTCTTGTGTGAACTAATCCAGCTGTAAAACCATTATGTGCCCGGGTGTAGGGAAGAGGTGGATGCATATGTAGGCGAGAATTGTGGTTTGAGCACAAGGAAGAGCGGTTCACTCTTGTACACGCGGCTCTTGTACACGCGGCATGGCTCTTCCCCAGCCGCGGAGCAGGGCTCTGAACACTTGTGACTTGGAGAATCTATTTGTTGCTTAATTCAACTAGTTATACAGTTCACTTACATAGCAGACCCTAGAGAAAGGATACCATACACAATTGGCATATAGCCAACTAGTAATATTCTAATATGTAGCTAACTGCTACTAGGACACAAACTCTTCTGGGCTGCAATCAGGCGCCTCTCCTGATTGGGTCATTGAAACACGGACTAGTAGTCCTAGTCGATTATCACCTTACCGTCCAAAGTGGGTTCAGATGCTGCTGCTGTTGCTGTCTTGGATCTGCGCCTGTAGGTCTGCTGCGCCCGTAACAAAAACTTGAATGGATTTTTTGCTTGATCATCAACAAGAATCGTTAGCTAACTTTGTAGAGCTTTCAGAAGCTCTAGCTACTCCCTCCGTCCGGAAATACTTGTCATCAAAATGGATAAAAGGAGATGTATCTAGATGTATTTTAGTTCTAGATACATCCCTTTTTGTCCATTTTGATGACAAGTATTTTCGGACGGAGGGAGTATATCTTAGCATCTCTTGGTATGAATGATAATTTTTATGCTACCAGTCTGTTACCCTAATCATTATGGAAGGTTATGCTTATGCTTTACTTTAGTTAGATAGTTTGGTTTAGACCCACTTTGAGCCTCATTCTAGTGTTGTTCTTTGAAGGCTGGAGGATATGACTGATCAACTGAGAAAGCGAATGATGAAAAAGCGCAAAGTCAAAACTCTCTCATTTGCAATTACGAATGATGTTTGCATAGAGGTGAACACATATGCGCTAATCCGTCCAACTGCTCCAGGTATGCTCTGACTCTGTCTTTCCAATGCTTGTTTACAAGTTGTTGTAACTTAAGCGTAAATGTGTTACTTCTATATTTGTAGGGACGATTACGTGGCTTGACTCGATCAGTAACCTTCCATTAAAGGTAAAGTTATGCTCTATGAAAAATATATGCTCTTTGTTGCTTACTTTTTTGGATTTTGCTGATGCACCTTCATAGTTTGTTATGCTATCATTACAAAAGTTGTGACGAGCTTATGGTAGGCTTAAGTCATACTCCCTCTGTATCACAAATACATGTCGTTTCGGATATTGACATGGTCTTCAAGATTTACCTTTGACCACTAATTTTACTATTGTAATAGTATGCATACATAACACAAGAAAATTATCATAGTATGAGTACTTCTCAAAACAAATATAAGCATATGGTTTGCAAGTTCTCAAACTAAATATTTGAAACAATATTTATAGTCGAAGTTTGAAAATTTTGACTGAAGGCATTTCCAGAACAAATATTTGTAATATGGAGGGTAGCTAAGAATTGTGTAGATAACATCCTGGCTATGCAGTACCATCTCTTGGATAATGTTGAAAGAGCATCTAAGCAATTCTTTTCCTGCTCTAATTTTTAAGGATATTTGGTTAATTTGATTGGGAAGTGAAAATGTTTTCATGGTTGATGATGCAACATTCTATAGTCTGCCAGTGTGGTAACTGATTTATTGTAGACCCAGATTACGCAACGCCAATCTTTTACCATGATAGGGCAAAAGATTGACGCAACCTGTGTATAGGATCAGTACCCAGCACTTCCACATGTTTTGAGTATGCATTTACGTAAGCAGCTATTACTGTCTTGATCATAGAGCTACTATTTTATGGTCATGCATATCTTGACCTTCAAGGGAGTTAAGGTTGAGATGCCATGTGTCTGCCACACAAAAAGGAAACGGATCAAGGACTAGTCACTGTGTAGAGGAGTACTATTATAGTGCCTCTTGGGCATAACAGAACATTCAACACTTTCACATATTGTACACAGTCTTTGGGCTTTTTTTTTCCTTCGGAATCTGTTTCTGAATGTACTCACATAATGAGATGTTGCATATCTTATGGAAGTGAGAGTTTTTGTTGTCATTAACTTCCTTTTATTAGGGAAATTTTACAGTGCAACTCTTCTCTTACAGTTGCTTTTTGCTTACATTTCCTTAACACATAAAATGATGTTTATACAGACTGAAAGGTCTTTCATATGCAATGACACCGGGGCCCTTCTTCAGGCTCCCCAAGAGCGCTTCCAGCTATACAATGAGTAAGTACACATATGTTTATACAGTGTCATCTAATAATGTATTTTTTTGGTTTCTAGATTTATTTGTGTTATACTTCCAGTATCTGCTTCCTGATTTCTTCACCAATCTTTCCATTATTTGTTTTCTTGTTTCAGTTTGATGCTTATATTTGTGATCTTAAAGCACTTTTATGTATTCATGTTTGTGCAGTAAAGTTGTTAAATTTTCTGTTCGTGAATTGTCTGATGTGAAGAGGGTTTCAAGTCATCATCTTCGCCTTTTAGGGTTCAAGCCATTGGATTGCTTAAAAGATTATCATAACTTAAGTCCGTCAACATTTATTTACCCCAGTGATGAGGTAATAACACTTCCTTATATTGGTCATCGCCAAGGGTACTTTGTTCTTTTGTGCATAACGTTCATCATTCGAATACTATTTTTATGTTGTTTCTACAGAGTCCAGATCATTTATGTCTCTACTCTCTGTCTTTAGACTGATAATCTTGTTCATAAGCTTCCAATATTTTCTGTGATGAGAATGTTTTCATTATATGTGCTTCTCTAACTTTAGGTAGATAATCAATAGTTGTAAACTTTCAATATTTTCCTTGATGGGAATGTTTTTCATTATATGTGAGGACACTTTTGTAGTTTGACTTGGTGGTTCTAGTGCATACTACTTCTTGTTCAGCCTGAAGGAGTAGTTCTCTCAGTGAAAATATAATGCTTCGCTCAGTGATTAGTTACTTTGTCCTATTAGTAACTAAAATAGATCTCTTGAAAATATTTAGGGTTGTTGAATGATGGGTGCATGCTAGATTTACTTCCTTTGCTTTGATGCAGCAAATATTTGGAAGCACTCACATTTTCATGCTTTACATAGCTTGATGCTGAACATAACTAGGGCTGTTGAATAATGGGTGGATGCGATTTACCTCCTTTGCTTTGATGCAGCAAATATTCGGAAGCATTCGTGTGTTCGTTGCTTTACATAGCTCGATGCTGCGTCTTGGACGGTTAGTCACTATCGCTTATTCCCGATCCTGCCACAACTTCTATGACCACTTCAGGAAGAAAGCTTGTCCGAGAACTGAAACCTATGAATGTGCATAAAGCTATCCTGAATCATAAGGATGCACTGAAAAGAACTAGTATTGGATTATTGGTTCTAATTAGTATGGACTATTGGTTCTCACATTACATTCTCTCGTTGTTTGGGATAGTTTCTGGGGATAACCACTTGGGTATGATGTTGAGGTATTATTCACGACAAGTAAATGAATTCGAATACACGTGGTTGGAACATTGTTTGTTGTAGTTTTGGGTTTGTTTGTCATGTCTTCTGTTGAAATAATTTTTGATGGTGTGATCTGTAGTCTGCTGGCTGTTTGGAAAATGAAAGGATAAAGGAGTTGTGGCTTATGATGTGAAAAGCATGGTAATGGGTGATACGGTACACAACAGGGAAAGTTATTTTTTTTAGGTCACATATCTAAAATGGGTTTTTGGTTGGCACTCTTCTAAACTGTAGGATCCCAGTCAATGACATTTACCTGTTTTCCCCTTCTATGCCTAATTGGTTCCTTGTAACTTCTGCTGGGCTGTATATTTTTTTTAGGTTGTCACTTTGGCATGTATGTTCAACTTACTCGGCTCTTTTTGTGTATGGGAGGTGCCAAAGTCAATAAGAGTTTGGCCACACCAACAGATAATCACTTATCTTATTAACATAATGTTCTGTAGCAACCCATCATCTCAAACCTAGATGCTTTCCTAAATGTCTAAAACGTCTTACAAAAGTGAACGGAGGGAGTAGCTATCATGTGTCATGTTGTCCCCCTGTTTTTGAGTCGAACGACTAGTCGCGACTAGTCGATGAGTTGTAACTGGAAGTCGTCAAACACCTCTACTAGTCGATCGGCACGGCACGACTCGTCAAGAGTCGCTACCCCAGAATGACTTGTCGACTCGAAAACCTTGCATGTTGTACATGTTCTCATGTGTTTATTCAAACAAGTGGCTGGGCATAGACTAAGGTGTTCTGTAACAAGATTACAAGAGTACACATGCTTATAGCATCATAAATGTAGTGTTTCGTGTTTCTTTTTACGGTTATATGATCCGTGCTACAAACTTAGAATTATGATATGTATGATTTCAGGTTTGCACTTGCGTTTTATGGGACCCCAACTCGCCCACGGCTTGTAGCCCTTGTTGCACAAGTAAGATGTATTTTCCATGTTTATGTTTGTTTTGCAATGATTACTATGGTAAACTTGTTAGTCTGGGTTACGTGTATGATATGAGCAACCTCTTTAAGGACAAATCTATTCAATGTAACAGTGCAAATGGTGTTAATTGCACACAAAAACCCCTTCTTATTTTCCATAAAAAATGATTTCTGGCAAGTTGATGTATAACATGATTGTTCTATGCATCACACGATAGCTTATCTCTGGGCAACCACAGAACTATGTCAATATCTGGGTTTGATTACATGAACAAAAACGACTAATCTTCTTGCTTCGTTTCCCTGAAAATTTTCTACTTGCTTCATTCAACTAATTACTTGGATATTTCTCAGTGAGATAATGAGGTAAACTGTAATAAACCCGAAATGACTTGGCTCTACAAACACCTCTTGTAGTGATACTCAAGTTTCCAATCTTTCATGTTCCAGCTTCTCCCCATTTCTCACTTATAGGATAAGACTCGAGTGGATGGTGTGAAAATTATCTACTCCTGCATCACATTCTACTTTTTTGTATTATGCATCATGATTTTTCTGTCTGTGGCTCTGAACTTCTTGGATTTACAATTTCATAACCCCCAACTATTTTCCTTCCCAAAATAAACACTGGGATTGAAAAACAGGAAGAGGTTATTTCTTCGAGTGGTCAAGATGAGCCACCTGGAATGCACATGATCTATCTTCCATACTCGGATGATGTTAGATATCCTGAAGAGGTAACCACTGGTGCTGCATTTGTATTTTCCCTTCTTAAGCAACAGAATGATTTTACACTTATGTGCAGGTTCATCTGACTTCTGGGGATGCACCTCGCGCTACAGATGAGCAAATAAAGAAAGCTTCGAATCTGTTGAGACGTATTGACCTGAAGCATTTCTCAGTACGCCATTTTGCTAACCCAGGTAAATCACTACCTAGAATTGATTTTAGTTTTTGTTAGAACTACTCGTAACTTATGTGTGTGTTCCACTTGTAGATTTGCCTCTTATCTTACAATCTATATAGACCAGGATTGCTTGCTGATGTGTTGTAGCTCAATATCTTGTTGGGTTAGCATGGCAATGAGCATTAAGAACTAAGTTGATGCACAGACTCTAAATTCAGTGAATTTCTCATTATTCCGATTGTGGTTTCTGTTCTGTCATGGAACAGGATTACAAAAACACTACGGGATTTTGGAGGCCTTAGCTTTAGGTGAGGATGAGATGCCGGATATAAAGGATGAGACCCTTCCAGATGAAGAAGGCTTGGCTAGGTACATGTTTTCCTTTGTCAATTGTGTATGCTACATCCTAATTCCGCCATTTCTTTCTTGCAAATGCAACTTATTGAATAACTATAGTCAACCATCTTGGTGTTCCTGCGTCCAAACAGGAACAGTGATGATGAAAACATAATTTAGTGCATGCTGAAATAAGCTTAAGATATTTTTATTCTTTACACGTATAAGAAAGAACAATCTAGGGCATGCTTAAATAAGCTGAAGGTTTACTTATCAAACGTATTGTTTGTATTATAAAAGAAACATACAACAGTCGTCCCGTACCTTATCGTGGAATATTTCCTATATTCTTATCTTAGGCCAGGAGTAGTTAAAGCTATAGAAGAATTTAAGGCTGCAGTGTTTGGTGAAAATTATGACCAAGAGGAAGCTGAGGCAGCAGCAGCAAAAGGTGGGGCCTCAAAGAAGAGGAAAGCAATTGTGGATGCAGCTTCACAGAAAAGCGCGGCTTATGATTGGGCAGACCTTGCAGATAATGGGAAGGTGAGTAGTCAGGTTATATTACAAAGATTATGTTTACATGAAAAAAATGCTCAATACGCAAACTGTTGCGATAAATTGGTCTTTTGATAGTCGCCCACTCTACAACCCATGCTGTAATTACAAAACTAGTTAGCATAATATGCCAGATCTTGGCATTTTAGGAACTATAGTCCCACCAAGAATCCACAGAAAATGAGGTTATACATGTCAAACTATGCATGCACCTTTGAAACATGAATTACATTTGGATGTGTTGTTTCTTTGATATCCCTGAATAGCGCCATTCATCCAAACCTTTCTGAGTTAACCACACTGATGTTTGTTTTGCAAAATTCTGAATCTTTAATTTGCAGCTGAAGGACATGACAGTGATGGATTTGAAGACCTACCTGACGGCGCATGGCCTCCCGGTTTCTGGTAAGAAAGACGCCATCATCAGCAGGATCTTGACTCATCTAGGCAAGTGAGAAACAAGAATCATTGACTGGAATATGCAAGACGTCTAGTGTGCATCCTATGTAGCCATGGATGATAGACCCGCCCTCTCTGTTTGGGCCGTGGCGATTTTGTATAGCAGTATGGGGTGCCAATGTGACTTCCATGTTAGTTTATTTGAAACCATGCATGTGCTCTTGTGCCACGCAACTTGGGATGGAGTTGTCTTAGATGTCTTGTGGCTGGTGAAAGTGTGTTCTGACAAAGGTTATTCCATCCGCTTTGTCGACAGTTTACTTTTTTTTTTGGTATGGCTCACCATTCATTCCAAATGGTACTACTCTCTCCGTTTCTAAATACTCCTTTTAGAGATTTCAATAAGGACTACATACTTGTTTTGCTCTGTATGTAGCCTTTATTAGAATCTCTAAAAGACTTATATTTAGGAATGAAGGGAGTATGAAAAGCTCTGTATGTAGCCTTTATTAGAATCTCTAAAAGACTTATATTTAGGAATGAAGGGAGTATGAAAAGCACGTTTGGGGGGTCGGTGCAATGGGAGTTTTTTCTTTTTTTTAAAAAAATAAGGTGAAATATTTGCCTAGCTGCAAAACGGCAATAGCCTAATTGAATTACTTTTGTGGTATTATATTACTCAAATTCTTGGCCCACGCAATGGCCCAAGGAGACACTTGGTGTTTCGTGTGATGATTGCCACCGGTGCCGGTCTTGTTCCTAAAAATGGGTGCATTTCTTTTCTTTCAAATTTCCCATACAACAACTAAAAATGGGTGCATTTCTTTTCTTTCAAATTTCCCATACAACGAAGAAGCAGTGCATTCACAAGTTGAGCATTGTGAGTGAGAATCTTGTCCCACCATGTTAGCGGGTGATCGTCGAGATCAGAGCTATGATGCAACTCTAGATTGTTCAGATAGGGGTTTAAACACTCATTACTCCAGCCACGTGACAAAGTTTATTACCAGGCTCAGGCCACCGTAGTGGTGTAACATCCTACTCCTGCTTTAGTTTGTTCTTTTGTATTATTCAACTCTCCCCTACAAATGTTTCCAGCGTCTCCTTTTATACCCTATTGGGCCTATGAAGAGGGGACCCGACAGCCCGTGCGGTGACGCAGGCTGCTGGAGCTGGCTCACCTACTCCTTTGAGTTTGTTCCTTTCGTGAAGGACATGATGAAGCCCATGTCTTGCTTACCCTGTTTCATGCATATCCTGACGTGCTCCCACTCGGGACGACTGATATGAGGAAGAAGCGGGGAGAGAACGCTCCCCGACGACAGGAGGGGGCCTAATGTAGGGTAGAATTCTAGTTTGGCTCAATCTCACACACTTGGAGGGGGAAGAAGAACAATCAAGAACACAAAAGTGAATCTCTCAAGACAACCCTCGTGTCGGGCTTCCCCCGGCCGCGCGGGTTGATAGGTTCTCTCGTGTCACTCCCGTGAGGAAACCCTAGTCGCCGCCGACAATCGCAATCCTCACCTTTCCTCCTCTCGCTGCCACCGGTTAGCATCGCCGGGCAAAGCTTGTGCGGCGTCGGTGGCGGCGGGGCCACTTTGTTGGTCTCTGGCCTGGGCTTAGGCAGCGCGGGAAGTTCTTCTCAGGAAGAGGTGAGGGCTCGCGCGGCTGCGCGGGCCGATGGCGGCGTGGAGCAGAGAGTGGATGGGCTGTCTTGTCGTTCCTTGGCGTGGAAGTAGGCTCGTGGTGCTCGCATCCAACTGCTTTACCTTGTCTAGGAGCTTGAGCACTTCCTCTGCATGATCAAACCCTTCTTGGATTCTAGGACTCCTGCATTCTTCATATTGACCCCACAACTTCTGTAGTGCCTTCTTCATTGCTTCAGGCGACTCCTTGTCAACCCATGAATAAAGCCACATTTGCCTAATTGCAAAATAAAAAACACATCACTTAATTTAAACAATTGTCAGGAAATACAACAACTGCTACAAGGAAAGAAAGAACACCCCATTTTCCAATTGAAACAAACACTTTGCACTCATGTTTTAAACAATGCACAACTTGAGAAGAAAATATCACAACGACAATGCAGTGTCTGAGATGAGGCAAAATTTACTTGAACACTTACCAAAATTTACAACACTTAACAATACAGTGCATCAAGAATTTATAGCAACTACTCCCTCCGTTTCAAAATAGATGACTCAACTTTGTACTAACTTCACTTGCACACTTACAAAATCGACAACACCCAACCAAAATGGTAACAGGTCAATGCATAGTGTTTCATGTTTACAGAGGATTACAACTACATAAAACATTAGTTATGTGACACAATTTAGTGAAATCTACATAAATTCCATGGAAATCGGATGAATCTACTAAATCCATTAACTTTGCAATGGACACAATTCATATTTCAGTAAATTAACTTGCTTTTGAACTCACAAAATTTTGTCATCCTTGGACAGAGGGTTTGCTTACATCTTGTGCACAACCATAAAACCTCCTTCTGGTGAGGGTGCCTTCGAAAGCTACAATTTTCTTAGCATTTCTCTTGTGGTCGCACTCCAAATCCACATTGCCTTTAAAGTCGGAGTCTTGAATGGTAAGAGGCGCCTGGATTGAGCTCAAATCGGTTAGAGCTGCTCATTAGACTCAATTTTGGTTCAAATCGACTTACAAATCCAGTAAATCCCCAGTTCACAAGCAATCATAAGTATTTGTAACCCTAACCCTAACCTAGGAGACAAAGAAGAGAGGAGCTTATGTGAGAGTCGAACGCTGCCAGGGATCCATTGCTGCTCTCATCGTCGTTCCAAGAGACCATTGCATCCGACAGCTGGGCGGTGATGAGGTCGAGAGATTTTGACGGCAAGCAGTAGAGCAGCGGGAGGGAGTAGCAGAGAAGCACAACGCGAGGGAGCGAAGAGAGGAGCGGGAATGACTGCGGAACGACGAATGGGCTGAACCTAGGCTCCGACCAAGCGTGCCGTCAGCTTTGCCGCCATGTGGACGCTTAGCCACGTAAAAAGAACAGCTCAATCTTTCCGTTAGTTTCTTTTGTGCCACTATCAACGATAGTGTTCCATGCATTTTGCCATGATTTGAATTGTGATGGTTTTTTGCGAGTTGTGACAGGAATGTGGTGGTTTTTATCCATTTCACTCGCAAAATACTGCAGTTGCACGATGCAACATTTAGGATATTATAATGAGTCAAATCATATAAATCATATATTTTAACGTGTAGTGATTAACCAGGACTACCGGCTTACTTTTGTCTTTGTACAGTGCTGTGCGAGCAGCACACCAAAATTGGGTTAAGAGCTTTACTATAGTCTTATTGTAATACATTTTGTGAACGCGATGTCTGGCTAACTGAAAGCTGTTTACTATTGTCCTTGAACGGTGCTGTTAACATCAGACTAAATTCTCAGCATAATGATCAGTAGGTTTGTGTAAGCAAACTGTGGTCGAACCTCGCGAGTTGTGGTTAACAATCACCTTGTACCGTACCGGCCCTAGACAAACCAAGCCGCGGTGCAAGATCGGGAGGGCAGGCTGCTTGGCGAGTGAAGGTATGCGTGTGTACTACGTGCACACAGGATAT